TCCACAGACTAATTTCAATTCAGATTAATAGTCCAGTACCCCAGGGGGTCCCTCAGCCAGTTTCAGGACGATCTGATGTTGCATTACATAATAAAAGCCCTCCAAAAACTCATTCTCCCTGTTCTGCCTGTGCATTTGGATAGCTCTAAAAAGGAAACTCCCTGTTTCCACAGACTAATTTCAATTCAGATTAATAGTCCAGTACCCCAGGGGGTCCCTCAGCCAGTTTCAGGACGATCTGATGTTGCATTACATAATAAAAGCCCTCCAAAAACTCATTCTCCCTGTTCTGCCTGTGCATTTGGATAGCTCTAAAAAGGAAACTCCCTGTTTCCACAGACTAATTTCAATTCAGATTAATAGTCCAGTACCCCAGGGGGTCCCTCAGCCAGTTTCAGGACGATCTGATGTTGCATTACATAATAAAAGCCCTCCAAAAACTCATTCTCCCTGTTCTGCCTGTGCATTTGGATAGCTCTAAAAAGGAAACTCCCTGTTTCCACAGACTAATTTCAATTCAGATTAATAGTCCAGTACCCCAGGGGGTCCCTCAGCCAGTTTCAGGACGATCTGATGTTGCATTACATAATAAAAGCCCTCCAAAAACTCATTCTCCCTGTTCTGCCTGTGCATTTGGATAGCTCTAAAAAGGAAACTCCCTGTTTCCACAGACTAATTTCAATTCAGATTAATAGTCCAGTACCCCAGGGGGTCCCTCAGCCAGTTTCAGGACGATCTGATGTTGCATTACATAATAAAAGCCCTCCAAAAACTCATTCTCCCTGTTCTGCCTGTGCATTTGGATAGCTCTAAAAAGGAAACTCCCTGTTTCCACAGACTAATTTCAATTCAGATTAATAGTCCAGTACCCCAGGGGGTCCCTCAGCCAGTTTCAGGACGATCTGATGTTGCATTACATAATAAAAGCCCTCCAAAAACTCATTCTCCCTGTTCTGCCTGTGCATTTGGATAGCTCTAAAAAGGAAACTCCCTGTTTCCACAGACTAATTTCAATTCAGATTAATAGTCCAGTACCCCAGGGGGTCCCTCAGCCAGTTTCAGGACGATCTGATGTTGCATTACATAATAAAAGCCCTCCAAAAACTCATTCTCCCTGTTCTGCCTGTGCATTTGGATAGCTCTAAAAAGGAAACTCCCTGTTTCCACAGACTAATTTCAATTCAGATTAATAGTCCAGTACCCCAGGGGGTCCCTCAGCCAGTTTCAGGACGATCTGATGTTGCATTACATAATAAAAGCCCTCCAAAAACTCATTCTCCCTGTTCTGCCTGTGCATTTGGATAGCTCTAAAAAGGAAACTCCCTGTTTCCACAGAACATTTTAAATTCAGATTAATAGTCCAATACCCCAGGGTGCCCCTCCGCCAGTTTCAGGACGTTGCATTACATAATAAAAGCCCTCCAAAAACTCATTCTACCTGTTCTGCCTTTGAATTTGGATAGCTCTAAAATGGAAACTCCCTGTTTCCACAGAAAAATTTCAATTCAGATTGACAGTCCAGTACCCCAGGGTGTCACTCAGTCAGTTTCAGGACGATCTGATGTTGCATTACATAATAAATGCCCTCCAAAAACTCATTCTCTCTGTTCTGCCTGTGAATTTGAATAGCTCTAAAAAGCTCTAAAAATTCTGGGGGGCTTTGTCGCCATAGACTCGTGCAGCTCTGCTACTGAGCCATTGGTTCGTTCAATGGCTGTGCAGTTACACTGCGTTATTGAAAGGCTTCAGTCATCGGCTTCCCCCCCAAAGCATCTTAGTAGAAGCAGTACGAGTGAAGTATCGATAGGGAACAGCATCTCGTCGTTTACACAGACTACTTTCACTTCAGATTGATAATACGCCTTCTCATAGTATCACTTACACTACTTTAGGACTGTGTAGACAAAACAGTGTATACAAGTTTTGGTGGGCTCTTATTTTGGAATTCAACATCAGACAGTCCTGAAATGGTGTAAGTGACACTGTGAAAAAGTGTACTGTCAATCTGTGGGGAAACTAGATTGTGGAAATCAGAAGTTTCTTTTTTATACCAATCTGAAATGACAGACAAAACAGAATTTATTTGAGTTTTTGGAGGGCTTTCATTTTGGAATTGTAAATCATATAGTCCTGACATTGCATAAGGGACACTCTGGGGTGGTGTGCTATCAATCTGAAGTGAAAATCGTTTATGGAAACAGGGACTTTTCTTTTTAGAGCTATCTGAAAAAATGGAAAATACAGGTTATATGCAAGTTTTTTTGAGGGCTTTTATTTTGTCATGCAACAACAGACAGTCCTGGCATTGGCCCAGTGGCACTCTGGGGTGGTGGACCGTCAATCTAAATTGACACGGGTCTATGGAGCTATCCAAAATCACAGGCACAGCAGGTAGAATATGAGATTTTGGAGGGCTTTTTGTATGTAATGCAACATCAGATCGTCTGGAAACTGGCTGAATGACACCGTGGGGTACTGGACTGTCAATCTGAATTGAAATTTTTCCGTGGAAACAGGGAGTTTCCTTTTTAGAGCTATCCAAAATCAAAGACAAAACTGGTCATATATGAGTTTTTGGAGGGCTTTTATTTTGTAATGCAACATCAGATCGTCCTGAAACTGGCTGAGGGACACCCTGGGGTACTGGATTGTCAATCTGAATTGAAATTGTTCCGTGGAAACAGGGAGTTTCCTTTTTAGAGCTATTCAAAATCAAAGACAAAACTGGTCATATTTGAGTATTTGGAGGGCATTTATTATGTAATGCAACATCAGATTGTCCTGAAACTGACTGAGTGACACCCTGGGGTACTGGACTGTCAATCTGAATTGAAATTGTTCTGTGGAAACAGGGAGATTCCTTTTTAGAGCTATCCAAATTCAAAGGCAGAACAGGTAGAATGAGATTTTGGAGGGCTTTTATTATGTAATGCAACATCAGATCGTCCTGAAACTGGCTGAGGGACACCCTGGGGATTTTCCTTTTTAAAGCTATCCAAATACACAGGCAGAACAGGGAGAATGAGTTTTTGGAGGGCATTTATTATGTAATGCAACATCAGATCGTCCTGAAAATGACTGAGTGACACCCTGGGGTACTGGACTGTCAATCTGAATTGAAATTAGTCTGTGGAAACAGGGAGTTTCCATTTTAGAGCTATCCAAATTCAAAGGCAGAACAGGGAGAATGAGTTTTTGGAGGGCATTTATTATGTAACGCAAAATCAGATCGTCCTGAAACTGACTGAGTGACACCCTGGGGTACTGGACTGTCAATCTGAATTGAAATTGTTCTGTGGAAACAGGGAGATTCCTTTTTAGAGCAATCCAAATGCACAGGCAGAACAGGTAGAATGAGCTTTTGGAGGGCTTTTATTATGTAATGCAACATCAGATCGTCCTGAAACTGACTGAGTGACACCCTGGGGTACTGGACTGTCAATCCGAATTGAAATTGTTCTGTGGAAACAGGGAGTTTCCATTTTAGAGCTATTCAAAATTAAAGACAAAACTGGTCATATATGAGTTTATGGAGGGCCTTTATTTTGTAATGCAACATCAGATCGTCCTGAAACTGGCGGAGGGACACCCTGGGGTACTGGATAATTAATCCGAATTGTAATTGTTCTGTGGAAACAGGGAGTTTCCTTTTTAGAGCTATCCAAAATCAAAGACAAAACTGGTCATATTTGAGTATTTGGAGGGCATTTATTATGTAATGCAACATCAGATCCTCCTGAAACTGGCTTAGGGACACCCTGGGGTACTGGACTATTAATCTGAATTGAAATTAGTCTGTGGAAACAGGGAGTTTCCATTTTAGAGCTATCCAAATTCAAAGGCAGAACAGGTAGAATTAGTTTTTGGAGGGCATTTATTATGTAATGCAACATCAGATCGTCCTGAAACTGACTGAGTGACACCCTGGGGTACTTTTTTAAACATTTGTATTATTTTAAATGCATTCATTCATTCATTGACAGAGAAACTGGCTCAATAAATGAATGCCAGAGACATAACGCATGAGAGGAGAGAGAGAGAGAGTGAGAGAAGGGCGAGAGACTTAACGCATGAGAGGAGAGAGAGAGAGAGAGTGAGAGAGGGCGAGAGACATAACGCATGAGGGGAGAGTGAGAGAGAGTGAGAGAGGGCGAGAGACATAACGCATGAGAGGAGAGAGAGAGAGGGCGAGAGAGATAACGCATGACAGCTTGAACGCTTTTCCCTTGATCTAGTTTTACAAGCTATTACCGTAATGCCTAGTATATACAAAACAACGTGGCGGCTAGAATGACCGTGTTTTTAAAAGTGGAGGCTGGCCTGACCGCAGTAAAAATTCAGTCGTCATCTACTCACCCTCACGTGTTCCAAACCCATAAGACTTTGGCCACTCTTTGAAACACAAATTAAGATGTTTTAATTAAACCTGAGAGGTTTTTGTCCCTCCAATTAGAAAGTCCAGGTAACCAAAACATAGAAAATCCAAAAAGGTAATAAATTAATCCATATGAATTGAGTGGTTTAAATCCAAGTTTTGTGAAGAGATACAATTGCTTTACATGGTGCACAGATTTAATTCAGGTTTTTATTCACATATAAACACACTTACAATAGATTGCATCATATGGTAAACATGGAAACCTTGAGCTTTTGTGTTTATGATATGTGTTCCATGTATGTGTCAATCATTGTTTCGATGTAAATAAAAGCTTAAATTAAATGTTAATCATATAGAGTAATCATATCTCTTCACAAGACTTGGATTAAACCACTCGCTTCATATGGATTTAATTTACAACACCATATGTTGGATCTTATAAGTATTGGTTACCTGGACTTTCAATGGAAGGACAGAGACCGCTCAAGTTTCATTAAAAATATATTAATTTATGTTTCAAAGATTGACAAAAGTCTTAAAAGATCTTTGGGTGGACCATCCCTTTAAGGTTCAAATACTTTTACTTTAGGACCACTGTAGACGGCCAGTATTGTGCTGGGTTCTATGGGCAGTTCAATACAGCAGTTTCTGTAATACATTGTGTATCATTTCCAGGTGGAGTCTCCTCTACCGAATGTTGCAGAACTTGCGTTCTTCTTTGAGCAAGCTGGTGTGGGTCTGGGGAGAGAGGAGATGCATAGAGTCTTTCTAGCTTTGAAACAGCTGGTGGACTCACAGTGTCTCCTGCGCTGTCGATTCTGGGGCAAGATCTTCGGCACGCACAGCAACTATCTGGTGGCTGAGGGGGAATATAGAGAGGGTGAAGGAGAGGAGGAGGAGGGGACAGAAACACATGAGGATGAGGAGAGGGAGGAAGAGCCACGGGAGGACAAGGATGAAACGGAACTTGTGGAAGCTGTAAGTCACAAAATGGCAACTGAAGTATACAAATGTGACCCTGGACCACAAAACCAGTCTTAAGTCGCTTGGGTATATTTTTAGCAATAGCCAAAAAAACATTGTATGGGTCAAAATTATAGATTTTTCTTTTATGCCAAAAATCATTAGGATATTAAGTAAAGATCATGTTCCATTAAGATATTTAGTAAATTTCCTACTGTAAGTGTATCAAAACTTAATTTTTGATTAGTAATATGCATCGCTAAGAACTTCATTTGGACAACTTTAAAGATGATTTTATCAATTTTTTTGCACCCTCAGATTCCAGATTTTAAAATATTGTCCTATCCTAACAAACCATACATCAATGGAAAGATTATTTATTCAGCTTTCAGATGATGCATAACCCTTATGACTGGTTTTGTAGTCTAGGGTCACATATAATGAAAGCATGCAAAGTGCATTTTCTTCTTGAGGTATTCGGCCAATCACAACGCACTGGATAGCTGGCCAATCAGAGCACACCTCGCTTTTCAGACCGATGAGCTTTGTAAAAATCGACGCGTTTCAGAAAGGCGGGGCATAGAGGAGAAACATGAATATACAGTATGTGGAAAATAATACCTTAAACCGCATAAACACATTTCATTACACCAAATACACAAAATAATGTTATTTTTAGCAACATCATATGACCCCTTTAAATATCATACTTTTTGGAGTAAAGGTGCAGTCACATTTACTGTTGCTCGATGAAATTCTGCTGCTGTTCTGATTTCAATAAGAATCTGTGCAATCTGGAATTTTACATTAGGGTGAAAGATTTCCCTACGCAGATTTCACTAATTTTCAAGTTCACAGGAATTTGCAGAGTTGAGCAACAGAAAGATGCTTGCTTTGAAAGTGAAAAATATTTTTGCCTGCAAAGTTTTGCATTGAATTCACATGACAAACTTGAACATGAGCGAAATCTGCGTGGGTAACGTTTTCACCCTCAATCCACGGATTTCTATTGAAATGACTGTATTTTGCCCACAAACATTTTGCTGAACAGCAGTAAAGGGGAAAAATATGAATAGAAATGTGCATTCAAACTTGACAAAAATGATTGAACTTTACTTGCAGGCTGATCCTCCCCCCAAATCGACATACAAGCCACCTCCACCAGTGCCAAAGGAAGAAAATCACACTGGTGTCAACAAATACACTTATTTTGTGTGTCATGAGCCCGGCATGCCGTGGGTCAGACTGCCGATGGTCACCCCCGCTCAGATCACAGTGGCGCAGCAGATCCGCAGGTTCTTCACAGGCAGGCTTGATGCTCCTGTTGTAAGTTATCCTCCCTTTCCTGGCAATGAGGCCAACTACCTGCGCGCCCAGATAGCACGGATCTCAGCGTGCACGCACGTCAGTCCTCTGGGATTCTACCAGTTTGGGGAGGATGAAGGGGAGGATGATGGACTGCGAGACAGTTATGAGGAGAATCCTAACTTTGAGGGCATCCATGTAAATGAGATGGCTGAGTCTCTGAATCTATGGGTCCATCATGTACAGCATATACTTACACAGGTAAGAAACAACAGACAGCCTGCTGGAAATTCATCTGCCCTAAAATGTCCATTGAAGTGGATCTTGAGTAAGTTTTGGTAACTGTGTCTCATTTCGAAGGCTGCATATGTCATTGTCATTGTTTATTTATATCTTTTGATGCAGTGTGCCAGGAGGAAATCAGAATCATGCCATCAGGATCGTCTGTTGTCTGACTGTTAGGTTAATTGACAATTATGTCATCATTTACTCACCCTCATGCTGTTCCAAACCTGTATTAATTTCTTCTTCTTCTGTGGAACAGAACATTTTTGGTTCCCATTGACTTCCATTGTATTTATTGTCATATAATGAAAGTCAAAGGGAACCGAAACTGTTTGTTTACCAACATTAGTCAGGTTTGGGACGACATGAGGTGTCGACTATCACTTAATTGTCAAAAGGAATCTTTGTAAATTAAAACTGATTTCCTACTGGCACACTAAAGCAAAAAATATGAATAACTGAATTTTTTTGGTGAAAAATTTAACATGCTCATTGGCACCGATAGCCTTGTGGGCAATGGGTCGACATGCAGTGCCGTTGCACTACGGGTGTCACGAGTTCGAATCCTGGCTCAAGGACCTTATGATGTTACGGCTTCTCCCACTTCGCTTCCTGCCAGCTCTACTCTGTCCTATCATAATAACGGCAAAAAAAAAAAAATGTAACATGCTTTCGACATTTACACAGCACTATACATGTGTGAATGTTAGGGCCGCTGTGTGTGGGTAAATGTAACTAAGAAGTCTGCTGATGACGTGGATGAAGATGCCGAGGATGAAGAGAGGGGTGAGGAATCTGATGAGCCGGAGCCTGAAGTCGGGCCTCCTCTTCTGACGCCTCTGTCTGAGGATGCAAGTCAGTCACACTGCATAACATTTACATTAAATACCTCCAGTACAGTTTAAATGTTGAGCTGTAATGCAGAATATGTTCTGTCCACAGAGATTAATGACACCCTACCTTGGTGCGCCATGATCTCCTCTAACCTCATTCCTCAGTTTTCCATCGCTGTGCTGCGCTCTAACCTCTGGCCTGGAGCTTATGCTTATGCTAGTGGCAGGTAAGAACTTTGCTTTTCAAAATGTACGGTCCGTCCAACCATCTCTACAAACTGATACTTTTTAGACGGAGTAAAACCATTCCTCTGCTCCCTCTCAGGAAGTTTGGAAATATATACATTGGTTGGGGGATGAAATATATCGGAGAGGCCTACACCCCAACCATTCTTCCACCGCCCCAAAATGAGTACCCCAGCGGGCCTGAAATTACAGAGGCCCTGGACCCCAGTGTGGAGGAAGAGCAGGCTTTGAAAGCTGCTCTGGAGGAGCAGACAGCTGCCCTGGAAGAGACAGAGGATCTGGAAGAAGATGAGGAGGAGGATGATTAAAATGGACAAAATAAACCTCCTTCAGAAGGTGTGTTGATGGTCAGATGCTTACATTTTTATAAGTGCAGTTCCTTAAAGAAACCATTTCGATCTAAAGACTGTCTTTGTATGCATGTCTACATCGATGAAATATTAATAACAAAAATTGAGGGAATCAAATAATTTATTAGCTTTTTAAATCAGTTTAACATAACAGCTTTGATGAATTAATGCATGCTTCCACTGCTTGCCTCCAAACATTATACCATGTGTTACACTTCATTTTTTGTTACATTAAGCTTATTCTGCCATGCTTTTTTCCATGCTGAAGTTCCTGTATTGGTTCATGACTAGTCATAATCTGAATCATCTGAACATATGTATGTAGATGAAATTGTCAACACGTAAAGCACTGAATTGCAAAAATTAATTACTTAATAAATAGGAAGTCTATTAATTCAAGTTCCTTTTAGATAAACCGTTTGACTTTTAATTATGAGCCTGTTTTATGAGTATTTTAATACATCAATAAATTAAGCTTGATATGAGCTTAAGAAAAACTAAGTTTCATTTCAAGCTGGTTCCTCAAGTACAGCCCATTTCATTTTCTATATATGATAAACAAATTGCAGTTAACCAGTCCACCTTCAGACAGAGTGGAAAGAGGTCTGATACATCCTCACATCCTAGAGTCCTGCAAAATACATTCCCATCATGCCGATTCACTCTGTTATGTGTTGGTACAAAAATCTAAATAATTTAGGCTAAATTTATTATCAGTTTTTAAATAAGCCAATTTTATATAAGATCTAACTGAAGTAATTTAGTTCTTGATTATTTCCTCCATTAAGGAAAACAAGATAGCAATTAGTACTGTATCAACTGATTCTAGCTGATCATCAACAGTTATAGAATTTTGCATAAATCTAGAATTATCATTACTAATAAGTACTACTAATAAATATTGACACATACAAGCCTTGCGACTTGGTCAGTAACAAATGAAATCAAAAGATAATTTACAACCATTAATAAATAAAACAACTACTGAAGCTGCACAAGCACGAACGCAAATGGTAACACATCAAATAATCAGATTTACGAGGAGTTACATTTACAACAAAGGAATGTTGTGGTCAAAGCTTGTAAAATAAATTCTATACCGAGTGTCATTCTAGGAGACTTCACAGTGTTCTTTGGGATAAAGGTTAAATTTCTTTGAAGACAGTAGGACTTGGGAGAAAACGTCTTAAGACAATAATGTGTATAATGTGCATGTGACCTTCATTTTCACATATATGAATGAATAATAAACACGGTAAGAAAGGAATCACTGTGAAGTGAGAGGAAGAAAATGAGAATGGGGAATGAGCTTGGAATCATGACTTCACTTTAGCGAAGGTCATTCTCCGCGTCCTGAATGGTCTTCTTGATTCTTAGTAACATGGTGGTCTGCCACTGATCAAGCCTGGTGATGGAGTCAAATTCCCTTACCTAATGAAATAAAATAAATCCAGAGCTTTGCATGGAGTAATTCACGAATTAACTACCACAGTTAAAATGTGTGCAATGAATTATGTAAAACCTGACACAATATACTAAGGGAACTTACTGCATCAGCGTATGCATCAATATTCTGCTCTTCATGTGCATCAAGAAGTTTCTGTTTAGTGTGAAATGCAGAAACTTAAATTGTGTTTGATCACTTTATATAAAGTCTCACAAAACGTTCAAGGACTCTATGTACACTACTGTTCAAAAATTTGGGGTTGGTAAGATTTTTATGTAAAGTAATTAATACTTAAGTAACAGTAAAGACTCACATTGTGACAAAAAAAAATCTTTCTATTCATTAAAGAATACTGAAAAAAAACTATAATGGTTTCCATAAAAATCTTAAGTTGCACAAATGTTTTCAACATTGATAATAATAAGAAATGTTTTTGGAGCAGCAAATCAGCATTATAATGAAACACTGAAGACTGAAGTAATGGCTGCTGAAAATTGAGCTTACTATATATTAAAATAGAAAACAGTTATTTTACATTATAATAATATTTCACAATATTACTGTTTTTAACTGCATTTCCGATTAAACAAATCTTACCAACTCCAAACTTTTGAATGGTAGTGTATAAAATACAAAACAATAGGACAATAAATAGAGACAATGGAAACCTAATAGATAAGGATTTGGGCAATCCATCTACCTTCAATCTCAATGGATGTTGATGACCCAGAATCTGAGATCACAATTCTATTCCATAGAAGAAACTTTAAGTAACTAAATGTATTGGAAAGAAAGACTCCAACCTTAAGAAGTTTGCACTCTCTAGCATCTGAGAAGGCTGGATACATTTCTTCATACTTCTGTACAGCCAGCTATTGAAGAGAACAAGGGTTAAATAATGAGAAAGCAGAAAGTCACATATTAGTCACTGTAAATATCTTCAGATCGTGAAGAGTGTAAATCAGTCACCTTGCAGTTGAGCATATCCACACAGAAGTGACACAGTGCTGCTTTGAAGAAATGGTCCTTAGCACCATACTTCAACAAGGTAGTGTCCATGGAGTAAGTCCCAATCTGAGCAGAGACAACATGCCAATCAACATGAAGGATGAATAAGACAAACGAACACAGGTTTTCAAAAGAAGATCAAGTCACACAGACCTGCTCAAATATTTCAGTGGCTTTCTGGTACTGCTCCATCTGAGCCGCATATGTTGCCACTTTGAGAAGACACTTGTTGGCTGCACTAAAGAGAGAGAGAGAGTTCATTTATTTTAATAATACTAAATGAAATAATTTAATTACAATACAAACCTAAACCGTTCTACAACACTTCTAATATAAAGACTACTGTAGAGTACCTGGTGGACTCCTCTCCTTTGTAATAATCTGCAGCATGTTCATAATGAGCAACGGCCTGTAAACAAATAAACATAAGTATTCTGGGCACAAATAATAGCAAATTAACAATTATTTTTCTTTCACTTTCTTTCAGAAGGGGTTCTTATTTTGGTCATTATGGTACCAACTGGATGCATTAAAAAATGCACTACTTTTCAAAAGTTTGGGATCTGTCATATTTTAAACATTACTACAGTAGGGATATGCCGGTATCAAATTTTCATGTTGCGATTAATTGCTAATGCTTTTATTACGGTATACGGTATTATCACGATATTGAAATTAAGTTATAAAAAATATTCATTACCGTGATATATCGCATTACCGAATACCGGCACAAGTCTACTACAATGTAAAATAACTTTTCTATTTTAATGTATTTTAAGTACATTTAAGTACACCAGTCTTCAGCATCATATGATCCTTCAGAAATTAATCTAATATGCAGATTTCTTATTACTATCAATGTTGAAAACAGTTGTGCTGCTTTCTGGAAACCCTAATTTTGTCAGCACTCTGACAGAAACTTACAAAGAAGAGTATTTATTTGAAATAGAAATCTTTTGTAACATTATAAACATAAGGTTTTACTTTTTATCAATTTAATGCATCTTTTCTGAATAAAAATATTAATTTAATATCTTACTGACCCCAAACATTTGAACGGTAGTGTATTTTATACTCCTACCTTCGATATTCATCTGAGCAACTTATTGATAAATGTGCACCTTTATGTAAGTAGATGACTTCCCACTTACTTTATCTATGTCCAGTAACTCAGATTCATAGATTTCAGCAATAGATATGTGGTGTTTTGCTGCAATGTTGAAACGTCCCTGTGGAAACAGATTTGTAAGAGAAAAATCACAAATCAGAAAAGTGTATTACCATAAACGGAAAAAAACCTTGCTTAGTTGCATATTTATGTTGAATTGTATTTGAATGCTTAATAAATACTTTTCTATAATTCTTCTCACCATGTCTGTGTAGATGTCAATGGCCTGACAGAAACAGCTTATAGCCTCTGTATAGAAAAGTTGCAGAAGAGCCATAATAGAATAGATTTTTATTGCTCATAATGTAAAAGTAACAGTAAGAGCTATACCTTGAGGATCAGCCTTTTTGAACGCATTGCCAGCATCAAGAAAGTTTACGGCTGCGTTGTGCTTGCTTTCCACCTGCAAATGCAGTCGTGCAGCTTTGCAGAAGGCATCTCCTGCAGCTTAAAGGGGAACAAAGCAGCAATACAAATGACACATGCTTATTGAACACCCTCATACTGTGGTGCAAGAGTTGCTAGGTGTCGTACCACTCCAGTTCTTGGCCATCTTAAACATGTTGGCAGCTCTCACGTACAAGTCACAGGCCTCCTCGACTTTGGAGGAACTCCTGCAATGAACAAAAGCGAAGGGGGAGGTTCATTCAGTTCACTGAAACCGATAGGAGGCGCTATTAGCAGCGTTCAACGTGTTTCCAGACCTGATATGGCCAACATGAAGCAAGAGGAGCCAGAAATCAGTGTGAAAACACAGGCCCGATATTGCTCTATAGCCTGGAAGTACTACATCAAAAATGAGAGCAATGCCACTGTTTACTGCAGGTTGTGTAAGACGACCTTTAAGTTCTCTTCAAATACAGCCAATATGATAAAACACCTCAGAGTGAAACATCGACTCAACATCCCCACTGTTGCCAACGGCGGCGAAAGACTATGTACTGAAGAGCCCAACGAAGGCAGCATGGGTGAGTTTCAAAAGTGTTAAATTAAAGCAAAAAGAGCTAAACGCCTCAGTGTACACTGGCTTAGCGTTGCGTTTGAATGAAAGCGAGAGGGAAACGCTACATTCAGCGCGCACAACTCTTTATTATGACGCTTTATACGTGCACTGCGATGCTAACTGGCTGATTTCACTTCTGTGCAAAGTCTGCTTACTGGAAAAATCAACTCTGGTAGGTTTATGACAGCTAAATGTGAACAACGTTGTATTACAAATAATACAATTTCAAAAATATTGCTCATCGATTATATTTGTTCATTCGAATTATATCGACATTGCTTGTTGCACACGAATTGTATTTTGATACCTATTACTTTAGTTAGAATTTAATGTGCACGATGTGCACATTCAATATCGCAGAGGTGCAAAAAACATCATTAATGGATTTACCCAAAAAACGACCCGAATACCGAATGCGACGTTTTCATTTTCTTGTCTGCCTCAGCCATGATGGCCATAGCTTCCTTTTCTTTTCCAGAATAATCCATTTAGGCAGATTAAATGTGAGCCAGACTGCAGTGAAAGATGTCCAAGCAATATCCCATTCACATCGCCTGAAATGAAGTTATTTGTTTTGACACATCATGCGGAAATCGGAAGTAAATTCGCTAAGACTTTAGGGGTTGTCGCAAAATAGTTGTTTTCAAAATGACAGTGAAACGAACTGCGGTGTTTATTATTACTTATGAGTTGTTGTCAGTTAATAATTACATATTTACAATTATGTAACAATTTATATATAATATCTACACGAGCAGGGTCAAGCAGTTATGATACGCGCCTGATGTACATTAGTCGCTTCTCTTGACTGTGTACAACTTACCCTCGTACCCTAGTGGCCACCGCGCCATGCACATCCAGTGTGTAGGTCGCGAAGGCGCGGAGGATGTGCCGGAATTCTGAGACTTTTTTATGTTATTAGTAAGGTATTATTTATTTTCCGACGCTAAGTTATATAAAGTCAGCATTGCGGAAGCGTGTAGTATTTAGTGGTGGTAACACACGAGCTGGAAGTGGATAAAACCTTAAAGGCCCTTATGCTCGCCCGGAAGAACATCCAGCGACGTTTGATGTAAATAATAGCGGAATTGTTTCATTAGTATCATATTGCATGGTTATTGTTCTCTGGCTAAACGCTCTTGTAACGAGCAAGAGAGAGTTATACCTGACATAGAATCAGTCTCTTAATACAAAGCTTATCCTTTGTTCTAAATGTTCCCGCGAAAAACAAAAAAGTGTCGTGCTGTGTGACATGCTTTACTTTATTTTGTTCAACATTTACAACAGTGTTCTGGTATAATTATTATATAAAGAGTTTTATTAACATAATAATATTAACAACAACATAAGATGCTACATGGATGGAATATTTGCAGTTTTAAAAATAATTTCACACGCTGCAAGGCATTTTAATATAAATGGCAAACAATCCAAAAGGTAATGAACTTGTGAAATAGTGTGCAGTCACAGAAAAAAAAAAAAAGTATTTAAATTCACATTTTCCTTATTTTACAACTACGCTTTTATTGCATTTTGGAGTGTTGCATTTTGGTTGTATTTAAGTTATGTGACAATGTTCTACAACCAACCACATCTGAGATAAAAACAAAAGAACAAACTGCAACTTGAAAGCTATATTTTAGCTGCAAAAAACATCTTAATTTTATATAACCAAATACAAAATACATGTACAAGAGACATTGTTCAAGTGGTTTTCTTTTGAGCAGCCACAAAAACATTTTACAGTGAACACAAAATCAGGCTAAACTGCAATGTTTGTATAATATTTTAGCTAGCTAAAAGTTCTCTTTAATGGCTGCACAAGACAGTTTCTCTTTATTTCTCACACACACACACCCAAATGGTTACGAGTGCTAATTTGTGCACAGTGACTTGGACAGGTGAGGTGAGAGACTTCATGACAAAATATTTTAAGCTGTATGTATGTCACAGCATTAAGAAAAGGCTTACAGTTATATATATATAGTCGGAATATAAACAAAGACAGTCCTGATAATGTTATTTATTTAGATTTACATGAATTGCATACAGCACTGGGATTTCTGTACATTTATGACATTTTGTTGACCCCCAGGAAACATAAGGTTTCAAGGACCACATTCTAACCATGACATACCATTTCTATGAAAATGTTTATTTGTTACAAAAAAAACCCTTGACATTCATTACATAAAGGATTAGAATTAAAGATTTTATCATAGCTTTTTCATTACAAAATAAATGTAACTGTAATTATGCTAGTTGCATAATTACATAAGTTCCTGTTCAATCCTCTTGTTCTTAAATGACATACATTAAAAAAAATGTATGCTCTGATTTTTTTTTTCCACCACAGACATGGATCTCCCACCTCAAAGGCATCCTGGAATTCACAGCGGTCCTACTTTTCGTCGGAGAATGCAGCGTTTTTTGCCATTTTCTGATCGCCGCACATCGAAAGTGTGGAACCACTACACTCAGTTAAGTCTGCATCGTGTCGAGTGTAACCATTGTAAGAGACAGCTTTCCTTTCACAACAGCACTACTTCCATGAGAGAACACTTAGGACGCAAACACAGCATTCGGGACGGAGCAGTACCCCCTCACAACACAACAGGCATCCCCACTCCTGCAGCATTGCATTCTCACATTCAGACCTCTTTACATGGTAACAGATGTAACACCACAGGCAATGCTCCATTTCAACCAGCACTACCTGTTACTGTCAAAGAGGAGCAGGAAGAAGTACTGCCAGCTGAGATGGCAGAGACCAAACTTGCTCGGACCACATACGCCCCTGACTGTGCAGCAGGAAGCAGTACTTCTAGTTCAAATGCCATTGTGCACCAAGATACAGATATGGGTTGCCTAATGTATAATTTTCCTGCAGGGGAGATGAGCAGCACTGCTGGAGGCAGCAGCAACCGCAGCGGCTCAAGAGCCTGCAGCAACAAGCGAGCAGAGGTGTTGACCGATCTTATCTTGGAAATGGTCTTCAGAGACCTTCGGCCGTTGTCTGTGGTGGAAGAGAGGGGGTTCAAGCTCTTACTGAGTTGCCTAGAGCCTAACTACCCCGTGCCTTCTCCATCTCTGCTTGGCAGTCTACTTTGGCATCGCTACCACGTCCTCAAGCAATGCCTTCAGCAGCATCTACAGACAAGTCTAGCTTCTCACTGTCTGACCCTCTGCACCGAATATTGGCGATCCGTTGATGGATGTGGGGTTGATGGGGACGGTCAGTACTATCTTACAGTCAGCACGCATTTTGTAGACTCTCACTGGCGCCTGGCACGTTGCGTGCTTGAGACCCGACCGATAGCAGAATTCAAAGGAAGCCCATCTGAGAGAGGGCAAGCGAGCTTTGCAGACACTTTGAGAGCAGTCCTTTCCGAGTTCCAGCTCCCAGAGAACTTTGTTTTCTGTGTCGTGCATGACACCCCCAGTGGATCCGAGTCCAGGGGGCAGGAGAATATGGCCATTAATCAGGAATATCAGCAAGAATTTGCTGGACCCAGCCATTCTCCTCCCAGTAATCTTCTTGAGGGATGGGCACTTCTGCTTTGTGCAGGGCAGGCCCTGAAACTTTGTGTCCAGGAGGGACTTTGTGTGGAGACTGTCAGACAAGCTCTGGCAGATGCCCGTGCCATTGTCCTACATTTCCAGCACAATGTGAACGCTTCTACGGCACTGAGCCAGAAAGCAGAGGCTGTTAATAAAGAGTCCACATGCCTTGTCTTGAATGACCCAGGGCGCTGGACCACTGCCATTGAGATGTGTGAGAGTCTGCTGGAGCTCAAGTGGGTAATAAGTTCTGTCCTAGAGGAGCAAAAAGTAGCAACAAATCTGGCAGATCACCAGTGGCGTCTTATACACGAACTAGTTCCTGTGCTCAAAACGGTTCGCATTGCGGCATCGTTTTTAAGTGAGGACATCAACGGACCCATTTCAGCATTAATGCCGTGCCTACAAGGAGTGTCTCGGCTCCTGGGACAGAAAATTGCAGAGTGTACCTGTCCAGAGGTGAAGGGAGTTATGGAGAGAATTCGTGCTGGTATGGACAAACGATGGAGTCTGAGTGATGAAGATGCTCTTCTGGATTCCTCCGCTGTATTGTCCTCGTTTCTGGATCCGCGTTTTAAAGAGTTGCGGTTTCTCAGCCCACATGCCCGCAGCAAGTTGCACGACAAGGTGAAAGAGCTGCTATCTGTTCAGGCTTTCACGAGCGACGAACAAATGAATGCAGAAAGGAGACAAGGCATGGAAATGGAAGAGACTGTGGATGAGCGTGGAGAACCTGCAGATTTTGGATTGGATGATTCCTTGCCAATTCCTGCAATGGCTTCTTTGGATTCTCCTGAATCGTGTGGATCAGTGGAGGAAGGTGACAGCGTTGAGCTGCAGCCAAGCGAGCCCTCTGTTGCCATATCATCTCCAAAACAAGTCAATGAAAACACGCTTGGATCGCCTTTCAAGAATGCCAACGACCGCAAAAAACTTTCTAGTGGGACCAGTATGACCTCACCCCTGAGAGGAGATTTACAGCTCAAGCCTCGTATACAGATGAGTCCTCTCCCGCAGAGCATGTATGATATTCTTCTGGGCGAGGATCCTACTGAGCGAATGCCCGAGATTCACCAGCAGCTGGAGAATTACATAGCAGAGCCACTTTGCAAACGCAGCCTCTCACCCCTGCAATGGTGGCGCAACAAGGAGCATCGCTTTCCTGCTGTGGCCAGACTGGCACGAAAATATCTGTCCATACCTGCAACTGCTGTTTCTGCTGATCGGACATTTGCCCCTAGGGAGTCCTCAGTGACCCAAAGAAGGGCCACTTTGGGGTCTAAACACCTTGACCACATTTTGTTTCTCCATCAGAACATTGACTATGTGGATCAGCTGAAAGGTGGCTCCTCCACGAGTGAAATTGAGCAGTGGAACAGTGTCAGTGGAAACCAAAGCAGAGAAAGTCTTTACCAGACTCTAGTATCCTATGAAAGTAAGGTTCGTGTGTCTGAAGAAGACTCATGATCACTGTTTATGTACATATGCACAAAGTCATGTTAAAGGGATAGTTCAACCAAAAATGTAAATTCTGTCATCATTTACCTTCAATTTACTCGCCCTATGGAAAAATACTATGGAAGTCAATGGGGACATCAACTGTTTGGTTAACCACGTTCTTCAAAATCTTTTATTTTCATCAGAAGTTTATTTTCATACAGGTTTGGAACAACTCGAGGATGAGTAAATGGTAACAGAATTTTCATTTTTGGGTGGACTATCCCTTTAAGATTAAAAAAATATATATATGTAAATATTAAGGGTTGCCTTTGAACAGTTGTCACATTACCACAATAAGCTCCTTTAATTACCTAGTTACCTGATGACTATCATAATCAACAGGTTTTAGACGCAAGGATTATGAGAAAAGATAAATACAGTTATACTGCTATGTAAATAAATTTTGAAATAACATTCCTTTTACAAGGATTTTGTGACACTATTGTTTAATATAGTATTTGGTCTCTAAGAGGTCTGAGGATTTGTTTAGTCATTGTCTTTTGACTAATGTAGATACTGTTTTACTAAATTTTGCCTAAATGTGTTTTACTACATTCTTAACATGTCTCTAAAGCAGTACATATTTACGCAATATGAGCACATGAGCAATCATGCTGCTGTTCTGAATATCAGCACGGCTGTGATTTGGTCATAGGTAATCACTGCTGTGCAGACATCAGGCCAACCTTATCTCTGCACAGCTTGCATACTCTGTTCTGGAACACTGAAAAATCTAATTTGGTCAATCAAATTCCAGGCCATAAAGTAAGTGTTGTATTATTGATTAAATCTGCATATACTGTTACTGTTACGATAGTATTGTCACGTTACAGTGTTGTAGGCTTTACATGGAATGCATTGTCAAACTCATGCATGCATTTCAACAGTATAGCTTCCTCCTTTATATTTATGGGGGATATGTACATTCAAATGAGGTGTTAGTTATCTTTTTTATACTTGCAACAGTAGAATTTACAATGTATTATATTAGTAGCATGTTCAGATTAAAGTGTTCTATGAAATATTCTGGATTCTGGGAATTACCAATGCAAAATTGTGTTTTTCAGTTCTCATTTATTTTGTAAACAAGTTTAACAATACTAGTAAAACATTTGTTCTATTAAAACGGCAAAGGAATGCTTAGACAACCAAACACCTTATGGTAATATAATAAACGGCAAACATGTTATGCATTGACATTGTTATACATGGACATCATCGGCTGTTTTAATGGCATAAGATAGTAAAACTGCCATTTAATAACTTTATTATAGATCACATGGATTGTAGAATAGATAATATAAAATGGAAAAGAGGAAACTCAGTAGAACTGTAAAACTGGTAATGACAAATCTTGAGAGAAAATTTTGAGCCCAAATTTAATGTCTCAAAACAGTTAAACAAATAAAAACCAAGAAAATTTTTTTTTTTTTTGAAACCCTGTCATATTAAATTAACCTGTCTGGTACATTCTAAAAACTTCAAACTGTTAACTTCAGCGCCTTGTGCACTTCTCAAAATTTGAACAAGAAATAAACAGTTGAAGAAAAAAAAATCCACAAAGTTGGCTATTCTTTTGATGCAAACTTTATTTTGGATTACAATTACGGCTAATTTCACGGTCCATATTAATCGCTGGACAATGAGTTGAATATTTACTGTAGTCTAAAACACACTTGAGCTCTTACAAAGGATCTTTTATGAAATACTGATTGGAATTCAGTTCACTTTAGCCTTCTGCTTTGACCTGTGTCCTTGCTTGTCCACTGCCATCTGGAGATAGTTTCTATCCTGACTGAGGGGGAACTGTGGCTCTTCACATCTCTGTTGGATTTAAAGGTAAAATGAATTTGAATGTCATTTTCAAATTTGCTAATAATTATTCATAGAATGAAAGTGCTTTGCTGATTGTTTCATGTCACAGCTGGTTAGAACATTACTTGAATTATTACTATGAAGTAAAGACTAAGAGTGACATAGAGTCATAAATCTATTATTTTTTATAATTTCACAAAATGAAATATTTTCTCATTGTGTTACTCCATGTATTTGAAGGCATGTAAATCAGGAGTGTGCTCTAACCTGACACACACCTAACTCTGAGCAGCTGTCTTCTGTCCTGTGTTCCCGTTTATCTGCTCAGGCTGGTGCTCTTGTGAGCATCTGAATGCCTTTAGGAAAATAGCAGTAATGTTTTTAGATGATGTATGTGCAGATCTTGTGTCCATTTACTGAAATTAAACTTACAGAGTTCCCTCCACCTTCATCCTTTTTATTTGTGGCTCGGACACATTGCTTGAACTTTTTCAGCTTCTTCATGTTATAGTAATACTCCACACACTGGGCTATTGATTTTGTCTGCAACTACAAAATAAACTCAATGTTGTTGGCGTGTAATAACCACAGACCTTTTTTCAAGTAAAAAAACAACTTAATTTGATGAACTTTCTTACCACATTATGAATCTGTTGAAAGTCCTTGTCGTGGTCAATCAGAGCTTTCTTGAACACTTTAATCTCTTGCACTGTCCAGTGGTCTGACCCTGCCAAATACAATGAGCGACATCAAGTTTATGAAGGACTTATGAATGCTTTATATATTTTGATATAAATAGTCAGTACCTGTGTAGTGGTAATCATTCAGAGGGTGCCAGGAGGTCCGAAAATCTTCTCTCATTAAGAGTAAATCCAGTGCTGCCTGACAGTTGAATAACTGAGCTGTATTAAACAAACATCTATAAATAACACTCTCAGTATGATGAATAAGCTCACCATTATGCTTCCTTGAACTTCATGAAGGCAGTTGAGAGCGAATTCGATGTTGGTGCCTCCTCCTGGTAGCACACTGGAACAGCACATGTCTAACAGCTCTGTGACTGAAGCACAAAAAGGACTAAATGTAATCATTTTTTACCCTTTATACATGCTTGAAAAATGACTTTTGACTACGTAAAAAAAAAAGAAAAAAGGATGTAATACATTTCATTTATTCAAACTGTATTTGTTCACTGCTGTATTTTTTTTTAATCCCTGGCAGGTGATACTACGAGACCCCTTCTGCTACACTGTGAGAGTGAGAGTCTGTGTTGGTGTGTTTACCCCTCTGTTGTGTTTCTGTGTTGGTAGAGAGATCTTTCCAAGGAGTCCAGACGAGTTGAGCAGGGTGCTCTTCATACAGCATGTACAGTGTGTCCCGCACTGGGGGGATCTCTGCTTGAAACTGTGAACCCACGTTAATCCTCCTAAATGACACGAGAAATTGCCATTAACACAGAAGGAAATGGACAGTCTTGTAAATAATAGCAATGTAAAGAAAAGCATGATCATTTGTATCTAGGTAATTAATTCTAATTTCCCTTTTTAAAAGACCTTATAAGACGAAGAAGACTTCATTAATATATTTTCAATTAAATGCAAAATATTCTTTATCTTTCCCTTTTTTAAGTACTTTTTTGTCCCCTTTTCCTGCTTGGATCAATCAACTGTGTAAGAATTCTGTATACAGGACATAACTATAATAATATAAAAAACTATATTTTTGTTTTCTTATATATTAAGAGACAATGGAACCTCCTTGCACTGTGCCCTGCAATGTGATTTATATTTACTTGGAATGTTCTTGTTTTTTTAAAATCCCTAAACCCTCACTTATGCTCCAGAAAGAAAAACAATGCATTAAGAGCCAGGGGTGTAAACTTGAATGGAATGAAGATGTGTACATTTTTATTTTGCCTAAATAAATTTTTTGTTTTTCATTTCGTACTGCCCTTCAGAAGCTACAGACGATACTTACATGTTTCCCAGAAGAAAAATAAGTTAAATTTACCCTGAAAGTTTTTACCTCCAGGCTCTTAAAACATAATTTTTCCTTCTGGTGCGTCAGTGACTGTTTGAACTCTTTGTAATAGTTGCATGCAAGTCCCTCAGTTGTCCTCAGTGTGAAAAGATGGATCTCAAAATCATTCAGTATACACCCCCTCATTTGTTTCTCCACTAGAAGTATGTAATGTATGCAAAATACCATACAGATAATTTGTCATTTAGGGTGTGCTCAAAGAATGGATCTTTTTATCAACAGGTACTTCAAGAAGGTTTTGTTCACTGATAAACTTTTGACTGTTTCTGATATCAGATGACTCTCTAACCATTAGGCCACAGCTGCCCCTTTTGTTTCTCCACTAGAAGTAGGGGCAGTTGTGGCCTAATGGTTAGAGAGTCAAGAGTGAATATACAGCGCTCTCTTCCACTTTCAGTAACCACAACAGGTCCTTGAGCACTTGAGTCCTTGAGTTGCTCCCCGGGCACTGTAGCAAATGGCTGCCCACTGTTCCGGGTGTGTGTTCACTACTCACTGCCGTGTGTGTGCACTTGGGTGGGTTAAATGCAAAGCACAAATTCTGAGTATGGGTTACCATACTAGGCAACATGTCACGAAAGTGGCAGAATACTCGCAACTTTGTTATTCTCGATCTCCGTCAGGACTTCCTAAATGAAGATCTTGGTACCTGGGCAAACAATGCAAATCAGGGGTCCAGACTAACATTTGAGAGCAGTGGCACCAGTGCCACTAAGTTCTACAGATGGTGGCGCCAGGAGCAGGTTTGGTAGCACTGGGGGATAGTGTGTGGGGGTATTAAAAAGAAAAATAATTTAATCATAAAATTACTATTGTTTTGCATTAATAAGTGCAGTTACTAATAATATTACACGTTTATTTCTTGGTAATGCACATCTTGACAGTATCCAAGCATACAAAATTTACTTTTATTAACAACAGTAGCATGCAAAACTCTTATTAAATGTACCATTATTCTTCTACAGTATTATACAGAACTGACCGACAACTTCAGTGATTCTAAAAGGAACGCTCTTGATGTGATTCAGTCACAAATTGAAAAAAAGTTTGTTTTTCAAGGCACTTTGTGACTTTTCTTATTTCATACACAAAAAGTGCAAAACTCTGAAAAAATTTGATTTTTTTTGATGATTTGATATTTTATAACAGTGATTTTATAATTTCAAAATATAAAGCAAAAAGTAGAAATTAATGACTAAAAAGCCAATAAGTGCTCCTTTGCTGCCATCTACTGGTTATAGTGATACTTTGATGTTTTTTAATTTTAATAAGTGTTTGTTTACTAGGGCTGGGACAATAAATCAATGCGTTGCGATTCGTGGATTGATTCTGAGATTTTCAGAATGCATCGTGATTCTCTCTCGAATCGATTCAGAGCTTAGTTTTTAACAGCAGATGGCGCTCTAGGCTAGTTTTTAACCACACACTCAAATGCTCACAAAGAAGAGCGCTTGTGTATGCGGCTGAGTAATGTAAGTGGTTAAATGTACTTTTATGCTTTTATGATGCAAGATTAATGTAAACACAGCCCACTGTGAACATCCTTGTAATTGGCTTCAACCTTTTCGAACGTTATGAATGATTATTTTAGGTTCAAATGGTGCGTGTGTAAGGAACTGGAAGCATTTCTAAAGCACGGCGGGAGAATAAAATGATTCGCGGGACTCCCGCAAAATAGAAATTATCTAAATATAAAGTGTCTAAAACATATAAATTGTTATTTATCTGTTGTACTAAAGCAAAAAGAACAACTAATATTAACATTAAAATTATTGATATGTGCAAGCTAGGCATAGTTTCTATTTATAACACATGTTTAAAGGGTAGCGCAATTCAGCCAATCACAGACTCAGCTGTTTTTTTTTCTAGAACGCAATGGCCAATCAGAGGTTATTAAGTTAGAATCTACTCACCACAGTGCTGAAATTGCGTGCTCACGAATCCTCTCATTTTAACACATGATATTTTATCGGGAGTGTTTATGCTGGGATGTTGTGGAGCTAAGGAGATGTTACAGAACCATTTCATGTAAATTTCTTCGATGTACTGAAAAAGTCTATATAGATTACTTTTTTGCGGGTGGGAGCGGGACAAAACATGAATGTCGCGGGCGGGAGCGGGACCAGATAAGATATATTTCTGCGGGAGCGGGCAGGCGCGGGACAGAATCTTGCGGGAGCGGGACTGAAAAATCTGTCCCGCGCAGGTCTCTAGCACGCAGTGCCATCTGCGGTTAAAAACTAAGCTCAGAATCGATTCAAGAGAGAATCGCGATGCGTTCGGAAAATCGCAGAAAGGATGCAGAATAATTTCTCGATTCGCGATGCATCAATTTATTGTCCCAGCCCTATTGTTTACCACAAAGTATATTTTGGTCATCCCATTAAAAATAACATTTAAACTGGATCAGTTTTAGAGCAGAATGCAAATACTGACAGGCTTGGTGGGCAGTATAAATGCGGCGAGGCAGAATCTTCTCTTTCACTTTCGCTGATCTATTCACGTGAATTTCCTAAAGACGAAATGGAAACAAGCACTTACTGCAGGGTTGTGCAGGCCCCATAAGCCCGCCAGAGACCCATCAGCACTGCGTTGTTTGCCTGGGCCTGGCCCACGCTGAGGCAGCCTTTGCTGACTCGGAGTGCACTCACTGCGCGGACTTGCTGGTACGTATCCTACGTGCTAGGAGAGACCTAGCTTATGGCTTGACTGGAACGAGGCCCACTGCTGCCTGTGATCCGTTGGTGGGCCCTCCACAACACCCCACCCAGCACAGAGAGGGTCTAAACAGCCTGCTGTGTTCTCCACGCCGACCCGTTCGGAGCCAGATGTTCGCCGTAAGCAGTGGCCGGGATCCGGGAAGAGACACTACGGACCGAGGAGGAGCCCCCGCCATGATAGCAGACCATCTTCAGCTGCAAAGCCTTCATCCTGAAGGTCCTGTCAAGAGGAGGAGAGAGCTCGCGGGAGGCCCAGCCTCCAGGCGATGGATGCAATGTTCTGTTTTCTGTCCATGCAATAAAAACACCTCCTTTCAAAAAGAGCTGTTTCCTTCTCATACTATGAATACGGTGTCGCTTGCCCTGCCTCAGAACAGTGCGAAGCCGCGATTTGTACCTGTTATGGCCTCCCAGTGTCACAGGGATGCTGGCAGCCCCCCGCTGCCCATGGCGGTGGGCGAGTGTCAGCCAACTTTCCCTCCACGAGCCATTTCCCCGCCAGCGCATTTAGGCTCGCTGGGGCAAGGCACCAGTCTACGCATTCAGCCGCTACATCAGTTTCTAGATGCGTGGAGAGCTATTCCATGCGTTTCGCGTTGGCTGTTACACGTAATATAACATGGGTATTCTCTCCAGTTCAGACGCAGACCACCCCGCTTCAACGCCATGGTTCCGTCCCTGATGTTGCCACAAAATGCCACGGTTCTGAAACAGGAAGTTCTCAGTCTGCTCGCAAAAGGAGCGATAGAGCATGTCTCTCCAAGCAAGCTGCAGAGCGGGTTATACAGCCGCTATTTTGTGGTGCCCAAGAGAGATGGGGGGCTCGGTTCATCAACTGAGCGCTTCAAAAGCGCGTGTTCAGGATGACGACCCTGAAGCAGATCCTGGTACAAATTCATCCTGGGGACTGGTTTGCATCCATGGATCTGAAGGACACATACTTCCATATTCAGATTGTGACATGCCACAGGCGCTTCCTGAGATTCTCGTTCGAGGGCACAGCATACTAGTATTCAGTTCTTCCATTCGGGCTTTAGCACCGAGCATGTTTTCAAAGTGCATATTTGCAGCGCTTTCCCCCTTCAGAGCGAGTGGTATGCGCATTCTAAATGATCTGGACGACTGACTGATTTCGGCCCATTTAAGAGATGTGCTTATCAGTCATATGGACACGCTGCTTCGTCATCTGGAGTCTCTGGGACTGTGTGTGAATAAATGTAGAGAAATTGGGCATACTTTCGAAGAATGTCCTAATGGCAGGAGCAGGTTTGGTAGTACTGGGGGATAGTGTGTGGGGGTATTAAGAAGAAAAATTATTTAATCATAAAATTTAACTTTTTCAAAGTGCATATTTGCAGCGCTTTCCCCCTTCAGAGCGAGTGGTATGCGCATTCTAAATTATCTGGACGACTGACTGATTTCGGCCCATTTAAGAGATGTGCTTATCAGTCATATGGACACGCTGCTTCGCCATCTGGAGTCCCTGGGACTGTGTGAATGTACAGAAGAGCGTGTTCACCCCGACTCAATCTATCACGTGTTTTGACTTGGTGAAGATGCGAGCTCGCGAGAGCGCATAGACACCCTCTCTGCAGCTCTGAACCAGTTCAGACCGGGTCGGTCTGTTCCTCTGAGGGAATTCCAGAGGTTCCTGGGACTTATGGCGTTGACGTCATCAGTTTGTCACCTGGGCCTTCTGCACATGAGGCCGCCACAGTTGTGGCTGAAAGATCGAGTCCCGTGGATGGCATGGACTGTGGGACATATCAAGGTCACACAAAGCTACATCAGCGCTCTGAGACCGTGGTGCAACCCAGAATGTTCAGCAGGGGGATTCCCCTAGGGCTGGTGACAGCGCACACTGTGGTAACGACGGATGCGTCAACCACAGGCTGGGAAGCAGTGTGCCAGGGCATTCCAACTTCAGGCCTGTGGTCAGAATCTCAGAGCAGGTGGCACATAAACCGCTGAAGGTGCTGTCCTTAGCTGTAATGGCCATTCTGCCGCAGTTGGAGCAGCGGCATGTGCTGATTTGCACTGACAACATGTCTGTGGTTTCGTACATAAATCGCCAGGGCAGTGTGTGTTCCAGAGCCTTTTTCAAGCAGGGTACAAATCTTTTATTATGGTCATTTACTCTCTATCAGAGCAGCACATATCCCCGGTCTCCTAAACTGCGGAGCGGACATGTTCTCGAAGGAACAGAATCCCTGACAGAGAGTGGAGGCTGCATCCCCGCTTGGTCCGGATGATTTGGGATCGCTTTGGGAAAGCGGAGGTGGATCTGTTTGCGACGAGCGAGAACACACACTGTCCAATGTTCTTTTCGCTGTCCCACTCCCCGCTGATGGTGGACGCTCTGATGTTGTGCTGGCCAAGAGCCGG